CACCAATTTATGTTTTTTTTAACTCTTTCCGCCCTGCGGGCACTAAGAGGGCCTCTTTTTGCAAGCCCATTATGGGTTGCCCACAATGGGGTTGCCGGGTGGTGAAAGACGGGGCCAGACATATCCGAACAGACCACCCCGGAAAATTTCTGGGGATTTTTCGACCCGTTCGGGTTCGAGTCCACCGCTCTGGGGACACGGGCTCGAACCCGAATAGTCAATAATTTATGTTATGAACTGTTGCTCTAAGTTTAAACTTATCTATATTTTTGAAACATCACAAAACAAGTATTTTGTGTTTAACACTTTATGTAACTGTCAAATATTATAAAAACAATTATACATGTACTGTGCTGTGAATAAACAATAATAGTCACTAGCATTGTTAAGAAACACTTAATATTTTAAAAAAATAAAAATATATAAATTATGTGTATTTTTAGAACACACTGTATTCTATAATAGTTGTTGGGAATGTAACTAACTGAATTGTAATGATGACAAAAACAAAAGCAACATATTCTTTAATTCCTACGCAATTTTCTTGTTTTGTTTGGTTTGTTTGTTTGGTTCCAATTCCAGCTCCTCCCATGACGTTGATGTGTATCCTATTTATAGGATATTCGTCCGACCAATCATCTGGCAATATTCAAGTCATCTGAGGAAAGAAGCAACAAAGAACTTTCTTGCGGAGTTGATATCCAACTCAGCATCTCTCCTCAGCAACTTCCTCCGTAATCGAAAGAAATTTCGTTTGTGATTAATACAAATGTTTCCTGTTAAACAAAATTTTAAAATTTCCTATTTAACCAAAAAATTGGCCCCTAGGTTCTCACACATACAATATATACTACTAGCTTACCCGTCGCGCATTGCTGCGATCTCAGAAGAAACGAAATTCAAGCAAACTCGTTATGATAAAATTCAATTTACATTTTATTATTTTTATTGAAACTTATTATTTTTATTGAAACTTATTATTATTATTCATTTTCATCGGGAAAACATTTCAAAATGTCGTTTCAATTCTATTTATTTATTGGAGTGCTTTGTGGATACACGATATTTTTTGTTTTTCCGTCTGTTGCGTACACGAATGAATCGGAAGGTTTTTCGACGCGTGAGCCGGCCACATACAGTTGTCCATGCGAGANATATATATCTTTATTTTATATTTTTTTTTGGGTCGCGAAAAAAATCACAATCATAAATGGGGTCGTGAATAAAAAAAGTTTAAGAAGTCCTGCTGTATATGAATAAAACTAAACATGGCGGAAATACCATGAGACAATTTACTCTGATGGCTGGATGTTCGGCGAGGTTAACATGTTCGCTTAATGTTTATGGGATCGAATTCGGACAAGCAACTCTTCAAGAATTTTTCATGGATTATCAGTTCCGAATTTGTCGGACTTTGATCCTTACTATCCGACTCACGCTATCATCTGCCGAATCTATGATGGGCGTGAAAAAAGCCTCTTTTAACAGGGCTATCGGGGTTGAAAAACTTTTAAAAAAGACTACAATTTAACATTGATAATATTATTCAAATCGTTTTTTTTGTATGTTGACTTATTTATTATGTTTCGTGTTAGTGCACTTTTCCTGTAGGCGGGATTATCACACTGCACGGTCACGAAACTGAAAGAAATTGAGACATTTTTTTACCTTTCCTATGTATTTATTGCGAAATGCATTTCGGACTTATTAAGTTCCTCGTCAGTCACTATGCATAGATTTCAATATTCGATAGAAAATATGAATTTGGTGACTTCGTGCTGTATCATGGTGTCACACAACAGTAATTTACGAACGTGCTTTAACATTACTGTCGAGTGTGTTTCCCTCCGGCTTACAAGTATGCGTTGGTTTCTATAGTTTCCCCCTCCCCACCTGTTAAAAAATCCTCCCAAGATCCTTGTAGCTGTAGATCTGTGTTTTCGTTTATTATTTTTTATTCTTATAACTTCTAAGTGTTGAATAGTTTCCTATTTTCTTCGTGTTTCTGTATTTTCTTTTATTATTTCGTTCCCATTTTGGTTGCAATGTTTGGTAACCGCATGATTAATTTTTATTGCATGGATGTGCTCCATCGCCTCCATGAATCTTGTTTGGAGTTTCCTCTTGGTTTCTCCTACATAAATGTGGGGTACAGTGCAACTGCACTCTAACTTATAAACAATATTGCTTTTGTTCCATATTTCAGTTTTTGGTATATTTTCATTACTTTTAAGTTGTTTGGCTTTGTTATACTTTGTTATGCTTTTCCGGTACTAGTAGATTGCCACTTTCTTCTTGTCTTCAAATAAACCAGGCACATAAGTGCATTTTAACAAATTTCATATCTTTAGTATTTCCATTTTTCGGTTTAGCGTTTTGGCTGTTTTTAACCAACTATTAATGACTAATTTTACTATACCCATTAAGTAAATATATTTTATGACGTTATTTATTTAATTTTCTTGATCCTTTGGATCAGTTGTACTTTTTATTGTTTTCTTTATAAACATATTAAATGTATTCTTTTTGACATGCATTGTATGTTTGATTTATAATGTATTACTTTACTGACCTCACAGTTTTTTTCATGTTTTTAGTACTTATATTGCAGGTTTTTTTCTAGTTATTAGTATATCTAAATACGGTCTACATTTTCTTCATTTACTATATAAAATTTCATTTTATTATCAATACTATTTATTATGTTTTTAACTTAATTACATTTGTATTTTTATTGTTATAGACTATAAAATAATCATCAACATTGCGAAATGTCGCTTTTATTTCTTTTATATTAGGTACGATGTTGTCAATTTTCATCATACATAATGTTCGGCTAATCTAGGTCCCATAGGGATGCCGTTATTTTCATTATACCATTTATTATTGTATTGTATACGTCTATTATTGTATTTAAAATCATTGTTGTCTAGGGCTAGCATTATTAATTGATTTAACCATTTTAAACTTTTAATGTTATTTAATGTTTCTTTGGTTTAATTTTTGCTGAGAGATGGATACATATGCTTGACGTCTAACGATTCTAATCTAATGTTTGCATCGATTTTAATTTTTTCTATCTTTGCCAGGAAATCATCATTATTTGATATGCTATGATGTGATACATCAAATTCTTTTAGTTTGTTCTTAATAAACCATTCCAAGTTGTAAAGGGGTAGTTTTTAAAATCAATCAGTATTGTGTCTTACCGGATTTTAGTGTGTTTTTATTCTAAAGGAATATTTCGTTGTTCTATTATTCAATTTTAAAATGTTTCTGGTTTCGTATTTAGATATTTGTTTTGTGTCTGTAGGTCCTTTAACAACATTGTTAAGCTTTGAATTATATAGGAAACCAAGAGGGAACTCTAAACAAGATTCGTGGACACATCCATGCAAAAAAATTTAATGACGGTAAATCCAAAATTGCCAAACGCTGCAACCAAAATGGCTTCGAAATAATAAAATTCTAAAATCCAAAAACATGAAGAAATTATGTTTAAAAGAAAACTATTCAACATTTAGAAATTATAAAAATAAAATAATAATAAACGAATAATCGAAAACATAGGCCTACACTACATGAATCTTAGGAGAATTTCCAAACAGATGGGGAGGGTAGAAAATAAAGAAGTCAACGCATACTTGTAAAGCCGGAGAGAAACACTCCCGAAAGCAATGTTAAAGCATATGTGAAAATGTTATGTACTGTACTTACTGCCGTTTATAAATTACCATGGGGTACAGCACAAACTCACCACCAAATTTATATTTTGTATCCATTATTGAACTCTATGTATAATGACTGATGAGGGACCTGATAAGTCCGAAATGCATTTCGCAATAAATACATGGGAAAGGAAAAAAGAGTTTCAATTTCTTTCTGTTTCGTGACCGTCCAGTGTAATAATTCCGCCTATAGGAAAAGTGAACTAGCACGAAACATAATTTAAAAAAGACAATATTTACAGGAAAACTAGTATATTTGGCTCGATATCATTATAAATTTCAGGTTTTTAGACTATAAACGTTTTTTATACGTAACTCTCCAGAGTTATGTACAGTACAGTGTGTCCAAAAAGAATAGATAATGTACATGTTTTTATTTTATTTTTTTAAATATTAAGTATTTCTTAACAGTGCGAGTGGTTATTATCGTTTATTTATAGCATAATACAATGTTATATAATTGTTTTTACAATTTTTTACAGTTACATAAAGTGTTAAACACAGAATTCTTGTTCTGTAATGGTCCAAAAATATAGATAAATTTAAACTTTCAGCCATATATAATAACATAAATAAATGAAAATTGTTTTAATATGTAATAGAATTGCCATTATGTTTAATGACTTCAAAAATGAGATTGGAAATTGATTTAATTAAATTGTACGATTTCTGAATCCATTTCAAACCAGCAGGCAATGATTTCTTTTTAAGCTCTGAAAATGTCTTAAAATGCCTGTTATTAGCATAAATTTTTCGAGCAAGAATGCACCCATCAGTTTTCAATCAGATTTATGTATAAATGTTATAAATTCTAGTAAATCTGTTTATTAAAACAGTAATTTTCTTGACACGACAACCATCTGCTTTTAATTTCCATATTTTTGCAATTTCTTCCATATTAAACTCCCTTCCAGGTGGCATTTTGAAAAGTTTTTGATTCAATATTCAAATTATTACTTGACAACAAAGTTAAACTATTACTTGACATTATTTATTATTATTTTCGTAAGTTTATTTTGCTTGAAAATTTACAATTCTGTTTTATTATCTATATTTTTGAAACATTCAAATATATATATTTTGTTGTTAAATAATAATATAAAAATGCTTATAGTCTAGAAAAATGAGTGTAGTAAAAAATTTAATTAAAACATATAAAGTTTATCAGAACATTTTTCAGTATTTAGTATTATCTGTTTTCATATTTAATTCGTTTATTCAGCATTTATTTTTCTTTTCTTTTCCTTTTCCATCGTTTCCAGAACTATTTTCTTTTGGTTTATCCGTTTCCTTAGGTTCTGAAGAGGGATAGATTCTTGTCTTTCTGAATAACAAAAGAAAATAATATTGTCATATAAATATTTCCTTAAATATTTATAAAATAAATAGATAGTTATACCTATTTTCAGGAGCGACTGCTTTTGGGATAAACTTATCTAAAAATAAATAATTTCAGTAAAAATTAATACAAAGATTTTTGTTTTGTGATTATAAAAGATGAATATATAATAATTTTGTACTAAAGAATTTTTGATGTAAAATTTATTTAATATATCTTATTAAATAAATAAAAATAAATAAACTTAATATAAGAAAAATTTAAGTCAATATATATTATTTGAAACTATTAGTATTTTTAGTGACGTCTGAAATTTTGTAAAGATTAACTTTGTTTTAACTCTTCATTATCCATACAGAAATAGGCCTATTAATTAACACGGAGAATAGTTTACAGAGTAAAAATGGTTTCTTCATTATTAACAATGCAGCTTTGTTAACTTTGAAGAATTACTAATTTGGCTTTATACTGTAAAAGCTGAGAATGGCCCTTCTCGAGTTTCGGGCACACGAATAAAAGGTTAAGTGGATCATTATAAAGTTCAATAATTTTCAATTATACTGCGATATATAATTAAATTATTAACAAAAGTTTAAAAGAAGTAATTTTGTTGAATTATGAGAAATTTTTCTATTTAAAGAAATATTTAAATCTAAAATACTCTATGACATAAGTTTGAAGTTAAAATTTGTTTGTATGACATTTTATTTTTAGAATAATATTTATATTATTAATAATTATGAAAAGGCAAAGGATTTAATTTTCAAGGAAAGATTATTTTCTAAATAAATTGTAAATGCTAATAACGAGTAAAAATCGTAATTAAGTCCCACCCCACTAGAGATATGACACGTGAATCCCTCTTGCTGTACCCATTAACCTTTAAACACCAAAATTTAATAATATCACTTTCTTATATATAGAAATTACCTTGCTAAATTTCAAAATTTTTGGCTCATCTAATGGTAAAATATAATGGAAAATTAATGTCGACATATACACAACATATACTAATTTTGTAATGAAAATTTTTTACATATTTGGGCTCTTTGAATGGCGAAACATATAGAAATGAAAAAATCGAGGGGGTCAAAATTTGATCGATATATAATGTTATATACTTGATATATAATATGTTGTACTGTATATGATAATACTTTCTATGTTATATAGTGTGTTCAAAAAGTATATATCAGGGGTGGCCAACCTGCAACTCTTTGAAGGATTATTTGTGGCTCTCGATAAATGTACTCGAGTTCCCTTTTCATTTTTGTGTAATTGTTATCGTTCTGCATGTGTTTCAAAATGTCTTTTAAATTACTAACAACAAATATGAAAGACTAAGTGCAACGTTGTAACAAATTTCATTTCCGTCCAAGTTAAGAATAATATGACTCATCAAAAACTGCGCAAACGAACNAACTGTTATAATAGAAGCTACATTCATAATTAACCACTCTCGAAACCTGCTTAAACGAAAGAGATTGCTAAAAACGAAACGATTTTCTGTATTACATTTTAAGATGGAAACCAACGCGAAAACGAAAATTTTTGCGTACGAAAAACGTAACCTAATCTAAATAAAGCAGACATTTAACATAAATAAGTAAAGTCACCTCTTACAGCATACCGTGAAAAACTATATTCTGAAAATGAAAAAAAAAAATACTAAAACCAAATTGAAAAAAAATATCAGTAGTCTGCGATTCCAGTTTACCCGAATATTACTGTATATTACATTGATAAAATTGGGTTTTATCGAATTTTACAAGTTAGAATTACATATAGTTCTACTTGATTGACGACTGAAAACTTAAAAAATTGACTCTCTTTCCATCTATAAAACTAGCTTATATTAAATTATATTAATAATGATTTAAACTTACTTTTATCGTCCATCCTACTTGAAATAGATACAAATGTGTGTGCCGTTAAAGGACAGAATTGCAACACCCAATGTTAATCTAGTGGAAGTGAAACTTATACTTTGTACTTATCATATTCCGGCAATTTTCTGTTTTTATTTATCAGTTGATTTGTATTTAATATTAGGCGAAGATTCAGGGAAGCGATGGGGGCGATCTCTTCCAAGCTTCCAATATTCCAAAGAACGATTCAGAAGATGAATCGTTAAAGATTTTTAATTCGTTAGAGAAAATAATCATTAAAAATCTTCGCAACGATCCATGGAACGAATGCTTGTCTCTATTCTTCAGCAACTGTTAGAAATTGACTGATCTAATATTGCTTTTGTGTCCCTGTTTAACTGATGATTCGATTTCCAGAATTCTACCATTGTTTAAAGAATTAAAACGGTTAAATATATATCATTGCGAAAACATTTCCGATTCAAAATTTCTTTGGAACGGCTTTATTGCTAACAGGAAAAGTATGATGTTCAGGTGGTATAAGACCACCAGTAAAAGAATTGAGAACATTGCGACGAAAAGTTGCAGCTCGGCATCATGACGATGTCACAATAAATAATCGCTGGTTAGAATTAGTTCGTTTATTTGGTTACGGCAACTCGACACTTGAGTGACGTACGAGGAAGGATGCATTCCGGAATGAAGTTTATTTGAAGTTGGCTCCAATTTAAGTGTTACTAACGCGAAGAAAACCCGGGGAACTCTATTTGGCCAGTCCGTTGGTATATCCCGAATCTACGGCCGACTAACTGCGTTCGGTGATTTGGTTCACTCGGTTACTGAAGTATAGGCCTACTTATTAAACTGCAAATTGAAAAAAACTATACAGCTATAAATTTCCGGACGTCTGTTCGTCTCTGACCTTCCTTAGTTCCAAAACCGGAATTATACAGATGATAGTCATGATTAGACATGGAAATCGTAACAGAGAAAATCTCAATTATTTATATACGAACTTTTAATTTGTACCGCAATTCACGTTATTTCAATACAAAAATTTTCCCTCGAAACAATGTTAGATACATAACCGGCACGGCTCTATTACTAACGGAAAAGTTATGATGTACGGGGGCAAAACAGTACTACACTGCACGCAGACGACTGCTATGTGCTATCTGTTCCAGTAATTGCGTATTGGCGCATCTATTTCACGTAAAATTATTGTGGCAGCAATTGGTGAATATAATATATATTTTATAGAATTATTTCCCATTTGGTATGAATTATATGTAGTTAATTATTTTGTTAAATTTTTATCAGTAANGTACTGTTCATCAAAGAATTTCAGCAACTCCACATATAAAATTTGCTGCGGTGATGAAAAAAACCACCAGTAACAAAACAACACAAATTGGCAAGAAACCAATGAGCTAAAGATCACATGGTGTGGAATTACCAATGGTTCTCGGTTGTTTTCAGTGATGAAAAGAAATTTAATTTGGATGGGCCAGATGGATGAGCTTATTACTGGAATAATATTAGGGAAAAAGAGCACATTGTTTTAGGTGGCAACGTGATGGTGGTTCTGTTGACTGCTACTTTCAAATGAATTGGTAAGACATTTGAATGGAATCCATCTTGTTGAGTATAGAATTATGGGAACTAAGCACTTCGTACTTGAGTTGGAACGTTGTTGATGACGTCAAATTGTTGACTTCAACACTTAAAACTGGAATATACAATTGTGTACTGGTTTCAAATTAATCCAGAAATCTTAAACAATTTAATTAAATCAATGCCGAATCGCATTTTCGAAGTCATTAAGCATAATGGCAGTTCTATTCCGTAGTGAAATAATTTTCATCGATTTATGTTATAAACTATGGCCCAAAGTTTAAATTTATCTATATTTTTGGGACATCACAAAACAAGAATTTTCAGTTTAGCGCTTTATGTCAGTCACATATCGTAATAACAATTATGTAACATTGTACTATGCTATAAATAAATAAAAATAACCACTCGAATTGTTAAGAATTATTTAATATTTTTAAAAAACAAAAACATAAATTATACACATAGATTTCATAGCAGTTGGAAAAGTAACTAAATAAATTGTAATAATGACAAAAAACAAAAGCAACACTTTCATTAATTCCTACGCAATTTTGTGTTTTGCTTTGTTCCATTTTAATGTTAGAGTATACCGTTGAAAGAGATTTACTGGCTTTGGAAATAACAATAAATTTACTAAGTTTGTATTGTTTAACGATTCTGTAATTTTATGGCTGTATTAATAGCTCATGCGTATAAAGAGCATTCTTTTTACCATAAAGAATTCGTTTGAATCCGGTTTAGCTACTCAAATTTTTAGATGGAATTAAAATTTTTGGAAATATCCCTGGCTTCAGCCACAATCTTGTGGGCTCGATCAAACTAGTAATATGAACGAAATGTATGCTATATTTTTACCGTCCAGATCGAGAAGATCTAAAACAAAAGATTAAATCTTTTAAACTCCTTAAATCGGAAAGTACTTAAGTGGGGAATAATTCGATTAACATAAATCTCGTTTTATGGCTTTATATCTTTTTGAATTATGAAATTTTATAATCAAATAAACCGCAGACCACATAAAGATGTGCACAATAAACATTAATCAATATTTATTCGTTATTCTCCGTTTCTTTTACTGATGCTCAGAGCAAATAGTAACGAATGCAAAAGTAGCGGGTAGTTACTATTAGCCTATTAAAAACTGATCTAAGATAATTCTGAGTATTCAAATCGTGTATACAAACGAACTATAGCGATTTGATCAATCACTATCCACGTAAACAAACACTATCAACTGGATCGCGATGAAATTAATCTGAACGGAGAGTAGGATCGTTTGGATCGGATAAAAAAGATTAAAGATGACAGCCTCCATGGTTATAGTCAAACTTATAGTTGTGAGCAAAGAAATATGTTTTACTGTCGAAATGAAAAGTACTTAAAACTTGTAAATGGTAAGTGAAACATCATTATTAATTAAAATATCCGCTAAACTGAGATGAAAAAATAAGTATTAAAAGACAATTTTGCGAGATTGTACGGCAAGAATTCATGGCGTGCACTGAAGTTTTGCCGTTTGTGAGCAATTTCATTCGTAGAGTAAATACGATTCGATCATACTTGTATAATTTCCGCCAACTAAAACACATGACGGAAGCGATTTATATCACGTAACAAAGACTGATTTGATCATGCAGATCGATCCATCTAAAACGAAATATATATGCAACCCAATAATCGACTCTTAAAGTTAAAAGTAGATGAAATCTGAGAGAGACATGAGAAAGAAAGTAGTTTTGTGGAAAAGAGAGAGGAGTGCCCACAAACTAAAAAAAGTTAAAGAAAAAAAAAACAAAACTGTAACTTATATGGGCGTATATTTACTATATATTTCTGGGCTAAAATTTGTTACCAGTCTATGCTATTCAGTTATAAATATGAAAAAATATATATATTTCAGATATTCAATATAATGAAAATTTAAGAAGATAAATCTTTTTGGGGTCAGCTATACAAAACAATTTGATTTTTATATGATAATATTAACTAATACAAATGTAGCTGTAGTACGTATTTAAGATGTTTTTACTTAATATAAATAAAAAATTTCATAATCTGTAAATATGCAGGATTACGAAATTAAACCAATCGGTTACCTCGTAATATTAAATTATTTCTAAAAAAATTAATAAAATAATAATAAATCTTGACATTCCTTTACGATTCATATTTACTTCGAAACTGTTATAATAGAAGCTACATTCATAATTAACCACTCTCGAAACCTGCTTAAACGGAAGAGGTTCTTAAAAACTAAACGAATTTCAGTATAATGCTTTAAGCTGAAAACCTACTCAATGGGAAAATGAAAGATTTTGCGTACGAAGAATGTAACTTAACCTGAATAAAGCGGACATTTAATATTAATAAGTAAAGTCGTCTCCAGGTATAACGCTTAGAGCATAGCGTGAACAACTATATTCTGGAAACAAATAGAAAAAAAAAAAAACTAAAACCAGATCAAAAAGGAAAAATAATTCGGTACCGTGCAGTTCTAGTTTACACGAGTTTTACAGTATATTACATTGATAAAATTTGATTTTATTGAATTTTATAAGAATTAAATATAGTTCTACTCGATTGACGACTAAAAAAATTAAAATATTGACTCTCTTGGAATCTATTAAACTAGCTTATATTAATTTATATTGATAGTGATTTAAGCTTACTTTTATCGTCCATCCTGCTTGGAATAAAAACAATTCGCGCTGTGAAAGGACGGAATTGCAACACTCAATGACAATCTAGTGAAAGTGAAATTTATACTTTGTACTTGTCGTATTCTAACAATTTTCTTGTTTTTATTTATTAAGTCATTTGTATTTAATATAAGCACAAATCGATAGAAACAGTAAAAGTATCGCCTAGCACAATAACTTTAATTTAATATTGTTAATTTTATTAATGAAATAAAATTCATAATCATTTAAAATCTTGTCATGAAACATGTATAAAAACAATTGCACGTTTATGTACAGTATATACAAAAAAATTTTTGTCTAAAATATTGAATTTTTTCTGATAATAATATTTATTAAATGCTAAATAAACCAGCAACGAGTTGCTCAACTTTCCCGGCAATATTTAAAATTTTGGTGGCGTTATCTGTTATACTTTATTTAAAATTCTTTTCATAATTTTAACTATTATAAAATGACAAAAGGCTTAATTTTGAGAATAGCGATGGGTTTTATAAAAAAAATTGTAAATGATAATAACAAATAAATTTGTCATTAAGTCCGACCCTACTCAGAATACGACTCCTTTCATCTCTTCGTCCCTCGATCTTCACAAATCAAAATAAGTTACTGTTAAATTTAATTGGATTTCTAGACGTTCCAATATGTTCTTAAGTCCAAAGATATAAAACTCTTTGAGGATCATTTTTTGACCGATCGCCATACTTTTGTGAGGCCGCGGATTTTTACGGGCCTCTTAAAAATTCAAATTTTCTGTTAAGTCTAAATATTTTCGGAAAAAAACCCGAAGAATTTGAACTAGATCGGATTTCACCGATTGTATAATAACTAGCTGAGAAAGTTTACACTTAGGTGTGAAGAATGCACCGTCATCGTCAACAAAAGTCAATCACGTGTCGGTTTTCCCAGGCGAATGATATAAAAGCTCGAATCTTCGGAAGCTCAGGGCGATCTCTCGGAAGTTATACTTGTCGATGTGTGCATCTCGTCTCCGGACCTCCGTGCAACGGACTCGACCCGATGAAAGGAGAAGACACCATAGAAGATCATAGAAATTTCCACATAACACTTAATCGCCACATAAAGCTCTCTTTGAGGTAATTATTTGAACTTGCGGACTCTCTCTCTCCCTAAGCGTATTTTTAGTTTAACCCTAGAAGGAAGGAGTATAGTATGTTAGAAGCATTTATTCTGAGTTGTATCTAACTGCACTTAACCTATATATTGTTATCGCCTTATGTATCATAGCTTAGCCATTTAATAAATGCTTTGCTATTTTGTTGAACCTGTCTCCTGTCATTTAAGGACACCTGCCAGCTTCCTCACCCCTCTCCACTCGACTTGCTCTCCTAGCCATCAAACGACCCCGAGATCGGGTTTTACTAGCCTGTGCAAAGTAAGTGGTCATTTGGGGATTAACCAGTGACCCACTGCTAATCTCACACTTTCCTTCTTATTCATAACAGCGGGGAATATAATAATGATTTTATTTCTAATTCTATTAATTTTTAATTAAAATGAAACTATCGTTTCAAACAATTTATAAATACTGTACTTAATATTTTTTGCTTTTTATTATCTGATCCATTCGTAGAAAAATATCCATATAACATTATTAGAGTGAAATTTAGTTTTATAATATTTTTGAACGGTTATACTTTTAAATTTTTTAAAATTATTATAATGTCAATATGTAATATTTATTGTGTCATAAAATGTAGAATAATGAATTACAAATGTGATAAGATTTAGCCCAGAGCAATTGTGAATTAACTTATGTAGATCCAGTAACTTATATAATCTTTATCGTGAAACAATTCTGAACACAATACGCCACTTGATGCAAACCAGTGTGACACCTTCGAAGAACACGAATCATATCTACTTCGTCTTCACATCGAANTTGTGAAATTTCTGATAGTTGGATAATAAACCGTTTTATTGTAATTTGTCTTTTTAAATTATTTTGAGTCGATATTAAAATTTGGAAAAGGGGGGATACCTAGATCGGTAAAATACGCGAATTTCTTCCTACAACTTCGGTTGTTGTTCGGGGTACAGTTAAGGTTTTAACGAAGCTCGAGCGAATACATAATTAGCAAAAAAAAGTTGAAATAAAGTGATTAAACAAAAATTATTATAAATATCGTAAATAACAGTTCACAAATGCATATATAAAGAAAAGATATTTTTTGAAGGGGGAAATGGTCTTCACAATTTGAAATCGATCGGACACACTGTGCTCTAATGCTCGTGTAAACGCGCGCCATTTATCGTAGGATAAATGTACTTCGCGGGAGTGTATTAAAAAATTAAAAAAACTTTCCAAAGTTTTATGGCAATCGGATAAACAGTGTGGTAATGCATAAAGGACAGACAGACACACACACACACACATACATTCATTTTTATATATATAGATATATGGGTCTTGACAAACGAATGCCCGAGCGATTACCGTGGCATCTACCGTTTTGGGACACCCGTGATCGAATCCTTACGGGTTTCGGATTCGATCCCAGGCCCTCCAAAACTCAGAAAATTTTCGTGCATGACCATCTGATTAGGTAGAGTCCCTGTCTCTCATCTCCTGACTGCCCAATGTGGACCTAGATAAACCCATAATGAGCGTGTAAAAAGGCCCTCTTAGTGCCCACAAACAGAAAAAATTAAAAATATATATATAATTGTAACTTATATGGGCGTATATATGCTATATTTATTTCTTGGATGAAATTCGTTTCCAGTCCATGCTATTTATCAATAGTTATAAATGTGAAAAAATATATATATATTTCATATACAGTAGACCCCTCTATAACGCGGGTTCCTATAACGGAGATTCCTATAACGTGGCGAAAAAATTGCGACAGTATTCGTATAAAGACGCTAAAAGGGACTCGTAAAACGTTGTCGCCGACTCGTGTCACGACAGGACTGGTCGAATCTGGACCAATAGTAGATGAGTAGCCGGACTACTTACACGCTACAGAGAGTTTAGGCGAGTAAGTTGAGTTTACTATCGTCAGTACAGTGTGTAAACTAGGTACCGTAAGTCTAATACAGTACTGTAATTTTATACATTTCTTGTGAAAGAAACATTTCTTTCACAAGAAATGTATTAATGATGTCTCCAAAGGTCAACGAATTTTTCGCAGAAAAATAACTTATCAGAAATCGCGGCCGCCGTTTGGTGCGCTGCTCTGCGACGAAAACAAGCTTAAGCAATGGCGACGTCGAACGGTGCACACTCGGTAAGTAATCCTACAATTTTTTGTTTATAGCATAGTTTATACGGATTATTCCCAAAAAATTATACGTGTTTTGGAAATGTTGACTCAAATTAATCTAGAATCGATTAATTTTATGGAAGAAAACCTTTCGAACAGCCGTAGTCCGTAAACTTCACACGTGCCGCGCTGTGATTGGCTCATGTATTTAAGGATTCCTACAACGTGAAATTCTTATAAAGTGGAACGTATCTACCACGTTATAGGGGGGTCTACTGTATTTAATATAGTAAAAATTTGAGAAGATAAGTCTTCTGGAGGTCAGCTATATAAACAATTTGATTTTTACATGATAATAATAACTAATACAAATGTAGCTGCAGCCAGTATTTAAAATGTTTTTACTTAATATAAATAAAAATTTCATAATCTGTAAATATGCAGGATTACGAAATTAAACCAATCGGTTACCTCGTAATATTAAATTATTGGAATAATTTAGTTTTTATGAATAATATTTTTAAAAAAAATTAATAAAATAATAATAAATCTCGACATTCCTTTACGATTTGTATTTACTTCAAAACTTTTATAATAGAAGCTACATTCATAATTAACCACTCTCGAAACCTGCTTAAACGAAAGAGATTGCTAAAAACGAAACGATTTTCTGTATTACATTTTAAGATGGAAACCAACGCGAAAACGAAAATTTTTGCGTACGAAAAACGTAACCTAATCTAAATAAAGCAGACATTTAACATAAATAAGTAAAGTCACCTCTTACAGCATACCGTGAAAAACTATATTCTGAAAATGAAAAAAAAAAATACTAAAACCAAATTGAAAAAAAATATCAGTAGTCTGCGATTCCAGTTTACCCGAATATTACTGTATATTACATTGATAAAATTGGGTTTTATCGAATTTTACAAGTTAGAATTACATATAGTTCTACTTGATTGACGACTGAAAACTTAAAAAATTGACTCTCTTTCCATCTATAAAACTAGCTTATATTAAATTATATTAATAATGATTTAAACTTACTTTTATCGTCCATCCTACTTGAAATAGATACAAATGTGTGTGCCGTTAAAGGACAGAATTGCAACACCCAATGTTAATCTAGTGGAAGTGAAACTTATACTTTGTACTTATCATATTCCGGCAATTTTCTGTTTTTATTTATCAGTTGATTTGTATTTAATATTAGGCGAAGATTCAGGGAAGCGATGGGGGCGATCTCTTCCAAGCTTCCAATATTCCAAAGAACGATTCAGAAGATGAATCGTTAAAGATTTTTAATTCGTTAGAGAAAATAATCATTAAAAATCTTCGCAACGATCCATGGAACGAATGCTTGTCTCTATTCTTCAGCAACTGTTAGAAATTGACTGATCTAATATTGCTTTTGTGTCCCTGTTTAACTGATGATTCGATTTCCAGAATTCTACCATTGTTTAAAGAATTAAAACGGTTAAATATATATCATTGCGAAAACATTTCCGATTCAAAATTTCTTTGGAACGGCTTTATTGCTAACAGGAAAAGTATGATGTTCAGGTGGTATAAGACCACCAGTAAAAGAATTGAGAACATTGCGACGAAAAGTTGCAGCTCGGCATCATGACGATGTCACAATAAATAATCGCTGGTTAGAATTAGTTCGTTTATTTGGTTACGGCAACTCGACACTTGAGTGACGTACGAGGAAGGATGCATTCCGGAATGAAGTTTATTTGAAGTTGGCTCCAATTTAAGTGTTACTAACGCGAAGAAAACCCGGGGAACTCTATTTGGC